GGTATTTGGATGACCTTTTCTCTTTTAGCACTTTGAATCTGATGGCCTATTGCCTTCTGTTCTCTGAAGTCTCGATGAAGATTCCTTATATGTGATTTGCATCTCTGTTGTTCTTTATCTTCTTTTTTCTTTTTCTTTTTTTGTGTGGCTCAGGCTGCCTGAAGGGCAGGTCTGGTAAGGCAGGTGGAGCTGGGGATCAAACCACGGTATCATGCTCCTGACTGTCTTTTTTTTTTTTTTTTTTTTTTTTGTGGTGGAACCAGGGATTGAACTCAGGCCCTTGTGCTTGCCAGGCAAGCACTTATTCCACTAAGCCATCTCCCTGGCCCCATCCTGACTGTCTTTGCATGAGCAGGCGCTTAAACAAATGAGCTAAGGGCAGGCCCCCTCTCTTGCTAGTTTTAATATTCTTTGTCTTTCACTTGTACAAATTCGATTTTAATGTGTCTCAGTGTGGGTCTTTCAATTCTCCTTTGAGTTGATTGGGCTTCTTGGATATTAATATTCATGTCTTTCATCAAATTTGGTGACTTTTTATTTATTTTTGTAGTACTGGGAACCAAACCTAGAGCCTGGAGTGTGCTAGGCAGATGCTCTCCCGTTGAGCTGCATCCCCTCACCCAAATTCAGGTTTTTCAGTTATTTTCTTGGTGCTCTTCTCCCTCTAGCCTCCTCTCAGAGCTTCCGCAACACGCGCTTGGATCGGCTTGCTGGGTCTGCAGGGCCTTCAGGCTGTGCTCACTTTTCTTCAGTCTTATTTCTCTTTTCCTTGATAATTTCTGTTTTTCTTCAGATTCATAAATTCTTTTTCTTCTGTTTAGACTTGACCTTGAACTTTTTATTTCAGTTACTGCACTTTTTAGCTGTGGAATTTCTTTTTCCCTCCTTTTTGGTTTTTTAATCTGCCTATTAATATTTCCATTTGTTCATAAATTGTTTCATGGACTTTCTCCACACCTTCCTTTTGTTCTTTGCATGTCTTCAATGTTTTAAGGTCTTTTTTCTAGTATATTTGCCATCAAGTCTTTCTGAGAAATTTTACTGATTTTTTTTTCTCCATTTTGAGCTATATTTTCCTATTTCTTTGTGGTCCTGGTGAGTTGCTGTTTTTGATAATGGAAATTGGGCAGTTGAATCTTAAAAATGTAAGTCCATAAACCTAATTCTCCTCTTCCTGGGAGTTTTCCTGTTTTTGTTATAGTTTTTGGTCTTTCAATGGTGGTAAACCACTATTTTACTATAGATCAGCCTATACTGTAAGCTTCAGATCTTCTCAGATATATTTTCAGATTTACCCTGGGGAGGCAAGATTATTTTTCTAATTTTCTCCTATATATAATGTTTTCTAATATCTTAATCTTTAATGTCTGACTTTCAAATAGAGAAGGACAAAATAAAATGTTAAGCCAGGTGTGGTAGTATATGCCTGTATTACCAGAACCTGGCGGGATGAGGCAAGATAAGCTTGCACCACACATAGAAAAGAAAAGGAAGAGGGAGCGAGAGGAGGCGAGGGAAAGGGGGGGAGAGAACAGCACTAGAGATTGAACCGAGGGCCTCCACACTGAGTTACATCCCAGCCTTTTAATTTTTTATTTCTTTTTTACTTTCAGACAGGGGCTAACTAAATTGCTTGGTCGCCCCAGATGGCTTAAACTTCTGGAGTTTTTTGTTTGTTTTTTTGTGGCCAACTCAGCCCACCCTGGGGGCAGGGCTGGCATGGCATGTGGTGCCAGGAATCGAACCACAGTCCCTGTGCACTTGTCTAAGCTTGCCTAGGCAGGCACTTTAGACTACGGAGCTATCTCAGCAGCCCAAAATAGGGACTGGAGGTTTAGTTTGTTTGTTTGCTTGTTTGTGAAAATAGCTATTGAAGCATATATATAT